TCAGCAAGTTGGATTAGCAGCTGTCACTCAGCTTGGAGCTTGCCAGCTTGTCCTCGTCAGAGCTCATCTCTACAAAATCGAAATCCCAGAGATCTGGCAACCCCAAGTGCGGCCAGCCCTGGAACAGTTCAGCTGAAGGAGCTGCATCTGTCGCCTTGCTCGTCCATCGGAATGCAGGGTAACTTCCGTGCGATGGTCCGCTGATGGCCTGGCAAGCCATTCGCTTGAACAAGCAAGCACTTGTGACCTTTGCGTCGATTCCTCCATTCGGTATATTGTTCACCATCGCATCCAAATCCAGCCGGGCCATGATGGCATGCCCTGGCCCGGCAGGGAATCCTGGAACTGCATCCTTAGGATCGTTGCGCGTCATGGTTGAGCGCATGTCGCCCAATTGACTCACTCCGGATCCAAATCGGCGGAGCAAGGATGCTCGCGGAGAGTCTTCGAAAGAGAACAGCTTGCCGTAAGACTCCTCGGCGGTCTTGTGCCCAGACATCCGTCTGATATCCTCAAAGAATGGACGGTTAAAGGAACCCCAATAGCCGCGCGAAGTGAGCTCCGTGGTAATGTCCGCCTGATGCGTCATGCCAGGAACTTGCTCCAGAATCCGGAGCACATTTCGCTGCAAAGGTTGTCCAGGAGTAAACTTGTTGTAGTCGACCACAATCCACTGCGAGTTTCCGGTGCCTGTGTTCTCCTCTGCCATCATCGACGTCCACTGCATGCCTGTCTTAGCCACGCGATTCACAGCCATGACATGTAGAAATTTGGGTAGCCGGGGCCTGCCCGGGTCATCCATGACCCGGCTGTACAACTTGGGGTTCAGGACCTCCAAGGTGGTGTCCATCACTGCTAGGCCGTTGTCCATCATATAGAAGTCGTCGGTGCTGCTGACGCATCCAGGATAGGAACTGAAACCCATCAGCTCGTGCGACTGAAATGACAAAGGCAGATCAAATCGGTAGTACTTGTACACTCTACTCATTTTGCTGTAGTCGCCCCAGGTGGTGTGTCCAATGAAAAGATCCGAATTTGCGGGGGCCAGGCGCACCAAGGCCGTGCAGTGGCCATGCTTCGCCAATCGGAGCTTCCACTCGGAATCGATCGTCAGAGCATCAGCCTGAGACGCATGGGCTTCCAGAAGCGATGCTGATGTAAAATTCTGCGCGTCGAAAGCATCATCGGAGCTTGCAGCGCCACTTCTGTCTGCCACCGCTTGCGGCCGGAAAGCCTCAATGAGCTCAGGGAGCTCCGCATGGGAATTAATGAAAAGCAGATCGACCATGTCTATTGTCCGCACGCCCTTCTCTCCCGCAACGAGGTTGTAGGCATCCTTCAAACCCCACATCTGCAGAAACAGATAGCGAACATGCTTCCAGTAAGGATCGGCCGGCTCTCCCTCAGCCGTGCCGGCCGCCAGGTGGCACATGCGCATAATGTGCTGAATCTGCTGACTGAAAGAGTTCCTGATGTTCATCATGGCAAGAGTGGAATCCTCATTCGGCTGTAACAAGGGATAGAAGTTGCTGTAAAACTGGGACATGCGTTCTGCCGTGAGGTAGCCTTCCACAATGCCGGCACTGTACATTTTCAAATCATTGGAGAAGAAAGCACCTCCAGGAGTGCTGACATGCAGCTCCATCCAGCCGGTCTCGCTCAGTCGATCGGCGAGTCGGGCCCAAGACACTGCATGATCCTCCACGGCATTCACCAACAAGATCTGGTTGGTTTCGTTGTCCAGAGTAGCCGAAAGCCCCTTGAGCTTGTCGATATTCTTGCGATCGAACGTCGCCTTCACATTAAACAGCGGTGTCAGGTTCGGGTGGACGCCCCGAGCCTTGATGGCAAGTCCATAGCACAGTATGCTACTCAGCACCAAAAAGCGTGCCAAGCACTTCATTGCTACATGGGGGCACTCGGAGCCGCCCGTCTTGAGCAAAAACCGTTACATGCCCTCGTTCGTCCCATGCAGCGTGGCAGCCGCTCTGAGCCGTTCGGCGAAAGCAACACCAGCTCTACTTAAAGATTCAAGGGCCTAACACGCTCGTTTTCACTGTGACGACTCTTCAGCAGCGGTCCTGGGCGGGCTTTGTACCTTGGCAAGCTGATCACATTGACTCCCTGCCAAGCCAAGCCCATCCGTGCAAAGAACGCCTGCAGGTCGAGTCCCCGGCCGAAGCCATCAGATAAGGATCGAAGGAAGCCGCTTGACCTCGCGGCCCGCCTTCTGTGAGGACTGCCTTTGCAGAGTTGCATCTCAGGTCGATGCCAGCGTCGTCTCCGTCGCTGGGCAACATCGGCGTATCCTTGCGCCGGCGTTCTTGCTGCAAGAGCTCGTGGTAACCAGACGCAGACACTTTCCAACGGTGCACGTTTAGACAGGAACTCCATGTGCCTGTGGGCGATCTGTCTGGTTCTCATCGCCAGGTGACTGCCCTGCACGGCATTCGCAAGATTCAGATCAAAACAAGGCCGAAGGGAACCAACCTCTCATTGAAAAAGTATTGATCGGTGCACCTGCTGGCGGCACCACCTCGCTCGGACCATCACAGCTGAGCGCCGCTGGAGCTTCGGACGTCTCAGCCTGCGTCAGCATTGAGTGCGGATGAAGGAAGTCTCAGCGCACAGAGGCGCTTCAAGCACAGTGCAATGTGCTATCTGATTGGGCTCCAGCCACAGTCAGACGACACAGTCCAACAAAGGTGGCTTGCCCCAAAGGCTACCCATACGAATGCGACTGCTGTCGGTGCAGTCTCCTAACCCTTCGTTGACGATATTTGCTTCGGTTCGTGCTTCCGGGTTGGACGCTGGGAGAAAGGCCATGTCGGATGCAAGGGTTGCTACGGCAGAGGGCTGATACGGAGCTTGGGCAGCTAGCTTCTTAACACTGCAGAGTGCCGCAAAAGAAACCAGCGCCATTTCTGCAGCAGGATTTGGCGATGCTTACATCATCTGCCCTTCGCGCCCTGTTCGCGGGACGGCACCGGAGTGCCGGGGGGGGGGAAGGCTTGTTGGAACTCTGCTGTGTCTGTCCTCAAAGGCCGTGACATTCATAGATGCGTTCGTTGTGAATCCTCGTATAAACGGTCATCGAACTCTGCCCACGAGCCTGCACGGTGGCCTCTGGAGGGGGATGCTTGATCATCACCTTGGGAGCACCTGCAAAGTTAACGACTATTTTCGGAGCATCCTTAGCTCGGCTAGTCTGCACCAAGAGTGCAGGCCTGTGTAGACTTCTTCGAAGAAACCACTCCGTCCTCCGAGAAGGAGATAATCGATTTCCACCTGCTCCATACAAAAAAACTACCACTGCAGTTGCTTTGCTAAGGCTGTGATGTCATGTAAGCGCTGTTCGGCACAGGTCACAGCTTCAGAGTACACGCGGAGAGATTTTTTTCTCGCCGCTCGCCGCATCTCGCCGCTCCATGCTGCTGCACCTGGCAATCGCCAATCTCAAGTCTGAACTCTCCCGGGCGATGATTCTGGCAGCGAAGGGGAAGGGGCTCCGGCCCTGCAGGGTGGTGGTGGCTGCTTTCCTGCCATCAAGGACAAGTCTACGGATCGCTGCAGGGAAGCGACAAAGCAGTTGCAGGAAGAATACCTCACGGGGAAGTTCTTTTGCGAGAATGCGACCGTGTGTCCACGCCTTCTCCAGGCCGTGTAGCGACCGCAGTAAGAAGCTAGCAGCTCCTAAGCTGCAACGACGTACCACCGGACCACCACTCGCCACTTCGCGAGCTTGGGCCCGAACCGCAGATGGGGCCGAGTAAGTGCTGCTATTGCTGGTTCATCCAGCGCGACAGCTGGAGTTCTCCCCCTTGTCAGTACCGTTGCATGCTGGGCCTTGGCAGGCTGGAGGACATGCACGCCAACAAGTAGACGCACATGTATCGAACTACTCCTGGACTTTCAGGAATCAGCTTCTGCGCTTGGGCTGCAGGAAGCCGCTTTGCCTGCATTGGCTTTGCCGGCAAAAAACACCGTCCGTTGCAGTGCATGCTTGCCAGAACCAAGCCAATGCATTGATCTCAAAAGGACACGTTACCGCACTTGGCTGTCGGCTTCCGGCCTCTTCAAATCCCGCTCAGCACGGCTGCAGAAAGCCGAAATCGGCTCCTAAGCTCTTCTGCCAGTTGCGCCATGAACCAAGCTTTTCAACGAGGAAATTTGCTCTTCAGTTCAAGAGAGGCAAGGACAGGGAAGGCTTTCTTACACCTCTCCGGGACGTCATCGAAGCTGCAACTGGTGGAGCCTGCTCCTAACGAAGCATAACTTCATGGCATCCCGAGATGACGCAGACACGATGATTCGACGCCACCGACAGCAAGATGAGATGTTTCGACAAAAGACAAACTGTTCGGTCCAACTCCATGCAAAAATCGGGGGGTTCTGAAGCACGGGGCCAGTATCCTTTGCAGAGACAAGTATATGCTGGGAGTGAAGTACCTTCATGACCAGAGCCCCGATCAAGGATAGGAATAACGATGGTCATCTAGCTGCTAGCAATGCTTCTTGCGCGGTAACCGGCCTTTCGGCAGCACAGTCCAACCCGGGCTGCGGACTTCACACAAACCGTCAGGATGGAAGCTCACGCCTCTATCGCAATATCTGACCTTCTATTCCTAAAAGTGTGGATCCCCGGCGTCTTTGTGTCAGAACAATCCTCCTTCGCGCCCCATGTCTGACCGTTGCAGCAGCACCCGGAAGCTTGAGATCCGCTCGCTCCGACATAAAGCCTATGCGACGGACGAACAAAACGAACACGAATAGAATAGGATAAGCGTGGTATCCGTTGGCTGGGCCGATGGGCGACTGTGATTCTCGCAGAGACAGCCGGAGTCTCGAGATTCACTCCTCTCAAAGCAACATAACTTCCCACTGAATGGCGAAGTCGCAGCTTATCTTGAAGTGCGATCTGAGCTTGGCCTTACAACTTTGAGCTAGTCTGGCAACTTGGCAGGGCACCAACCACAAGGTCTTCAAGAGTCAGGACGTTGCTAGACAAACACAGAGGAGCACCTCAACCTCACGTCGGCCAAAAACCGTTGTTGTCTAACTTCCGACGACGGTACAGCATGCTGATGATGATGAGGATGATGTTGGTGATGATGTTGATGATGACCATAATATAACAACAATATTAATACTAATAACAATATAACGATACCAATACCGATAATACTAACAATACTCATACTAATAATAATACTTGTAATATTCACAAGAAGAACAATAACAATAGCAATAATAGCAATAAGCATGTACTCAATGTAACCATTGATAATAATAACAATAATAGTGATGACGATGGTGATGATGATTATGTTGCTGATGCTGATGATGATGATGATAATGCTGATGGTGATGCTGATGATGATGATAAAGATGGTGGTGGTGGTGGTGGTGGTGGTGGTGGTGGTGGTGGTGGTGGTGGTGGTGGTGGTGGTGGTGGTGGTGGTGGTGGTGGTGGTGGTGGTGGTGGTGATGGTGGTGATGGTGGTGGTGGTGGTGATGGTGGTGATGGTGGTGATGGTGGTGATGGTGGTGATGGTGGTGATGATGGTGATGATGGTGATGATGGTGATGATGGTGATGATGGTGATGGCAACAGTGATGGTGAAGATGATGATGATGATGATTATGATGGTGGTGGTGATGGTGGTGATGGTGGTGATGGTGGTGATGGTGGTGATGGTGGTGATGGTGGTGATGGTGGTGGTGGCGGTCACAATGATCATCAGCGTGGTCGTTATGATCATCATAATCTGCTGATCATGATCATCTTTACCTTCATCACCAACAACATCATCATAAGCAGCATCCGAGCTCCCCACAAGCAGCTCGGGCCAATGCTTCTTCGCGGCCTTCGAATGCGGCCCCTTGACCCCAAAGCCCGCGCGCAAAAGTGAGCAGCCGCCGTTGTGAACAGATTAAGCATTAAGCCGGCCTGACAGCCCAAGTAAGCAAAGACTGGCTCGTACGGCTGCCCTTCATCCTGGACAAGTGCAAACGAACCAAAAATCTGTCGGAACAGCGTGGAAGGCAGAGAACAAGAAACCGTGGGGCTTACCTTGACGAAACGGAGCAGATTCCCGTCATCTATCAGCTGCTCGCTGCAGCAAATGGAATCCTGTTCTCCAGGGAAGAAGCAGAAGGAATCAACGGGGATCTGAAAGAGAGCCTCCAAAGCCAAGGCGATGTGCCAAACACCAGGGGGTCCAAAGACGAGCTCCCCTGCCTTCCACTCAGATCACACGGCTTGCCATGGCCGCGAGTCACTGAGAATAAACTGAGAAAGAGAGCTGCTAGCTGCTCTGCTAGCCGCTCCTCCACGATGACCTCCGCATGGCTAAACTCCAGCTGCGCCTGCCCCCAAGAAGAAACAGGCATAGGCGGGAACTTCACAGCGTCACGTGCACTCCGGTGCCTGCTGCAAAAGCGGCAGCAATTTCCCAAACCAATGGATGGCAGGAACTTTCTGCAGCAACCTTACCCCGAGTGTACCCTTCGACACGAGATCAGGTCACGCAGAGCAGCTGCTTCAAACAAGGCCCCTGCCTCTTAACGTGTCTAGTCGTCAGCTGGTTGCTTACACTGGTCGGAGGCAACGTCAGCAAGCCAAGTTCCTATCGATTCGAGAAGGCTGCACAGTCCCCATGATTCTGGACCCACCGAGACCCACCTGTCCCAAGTTTGCATTGACGACGGCTTCAGCCAGTGCTTCCAACTCCTCAAGAGAGCAGAGTTTCCACACTACCCCGCCATGCACAGGGTAGAATAGTGCAACAGACATCCTCGGGCTTGAGGAAGAGCCAGCGCTTCCGGCCATGAACCAAGGCGTTCCAGTAGGCCGTAGAGTCTGAGGCATGCAGGAGGCCAGTGATCATTCTATTGCCTTGTGGCCAGACCAAGCCTGGATCCACGTGCAACATGCCTCCTGCACCGGCAGGGCCGGCGATGATGAAGCCCTGCACAGACTCGGCATAGTTCTCGTCCTCCAACATCCCCGCCTCGGAGCGTGGAGAGCGAGCGCTAGTGTCCACCGGAGTTTGCTCTGCAGAGCTTGGCCATGGACTTGAAATGCCTGCGTCCTGCTTTCTGCCCAAGCCTGACATGACTCAATGACTCAGCCAGAAATCGTGGAGAACCCACTGGCCTCGTTGAGTCGCGGCAGGTAGTTTCCTCACTCTGGCGCGCAAGCACACTTCAGAGAATTCAGCCTCAACAAGAGAACATCCCTTGCAACCGAAATTCTGCCCAGGACCTTGTTGGGACCATCGCCTTGCTGCGTGACTTCCCTGGGCAAATCTAGATTGGATGTGCCACTGGCTACAAACTACGCTTCTACTGAGACCACTGCGCAAAAGGGCAATCGCTGGAGAAAGGTGGCTTCAAGATGATGTTCTCCAGGAACAGATTCTCGCTCTGGCAGGCACAGGCAACTGGACATGCTACCACAACATCTAAGAGCCCTGTTGCCTTTGCATGGGTAGAGAAGAACTGCTGCAGATGCTTCTCCAAGTGGAAGTGCTTATACTTTCCTCAAGGGCAAAAGCGAAGAAAGGCGATGATGCTTTGCTGCATTTCTAAATAACGATTACTGACCACATACGTACCACAGGCGATTTTGCTCCTGTCCTTCAGGGTCTGCAAGCTGTTCCCAGGTCCACTCCTTCGTGGCCGGCCAGCGCCTGACTAAGCCACGAACAACAACGGGCTCTTTGTGGCGGAACTCGTCCAAGCGCCCAGAGAATTCTTCAACGTCGACCTTAGGCATGAGATCGGAGGCATGCAAGATGCGTGACACTGCATGACTTCGTGACTGCACACTCACGAGTCAGAGTGCAGCTGTCCGGTGCTCTCTGCTTCTCAAGCCCGCACCTTCGGAACGGGTCTTCTTCCCTCCGCCGACCCTGCAGGCTCGGACAATAAACTTCGCGTCGTGATAATCGCGAGTACATGTTCCGGTCATGTCAGTAGGATGTGTTCTTACACATGACCTCTAAGGCAGTGGATGCATAATGCAGAAGCCTGGCCTGATGTTGCAAACTCTGGACGGAGCTTCCCAGGCAAGCCATCCCTTCTCCCCGTCGTCCATGGAGCAACTTCATGGTGTAACACCGAAGCGTTGTCCAAAATGACATCGCTTTGCTCGACTTCGTCTTTGAAGAGATATTTCTTCAGTCCGTCCCAAGGATTTGCCCACGCCAAGAAGTCGGGCACGAAGCTACTGGAGGCCACCACCAAGCCGCCCAACAGCGCCGTGCATGAGGCCGCAGAAGGAAGTAGCATGTTCGTTGGTCTCGAAGTTGTAGTAGTAACTTGCTACAGTTACTACAAGATATTACAAGGCTTACAGGGTTACAGCGGCTGCAAGGTCTTGCGCGGAGGGTCCCAGAATCTGTCATTTGTGGTCGGGGAGACTATGCCATGATGAGTTCACACCTAGTACTGTCGCCGATGTCTCGCACCAGTACTGGAAGTTCCGTGGCTTGCATCAAGATTATGTGGGTAACTGCTCCTTCGAGCCTGTCCCAGGCAAATTGAAGAGCCCGAGGCTTATGACCGAAGACGAGGTTGAATGATCACAGAAATCGCCGCCCACCATGTCGAGCTCGCGCGGCTGAGTGCTCGGAGCACCTGCAGTCCCACACCAGCTCAAGTTGATTGTGGCACAAAGAGACAAAGGGGCGTGCTGAAAGGATCGTAGCTCTCCTGCTCCTCAACCTGCCATGCTCAAGAGAAAAATCTGCGCGAGGCCCGGGATGGCGAAGCCTTGCCTGTGGAACATTCTGGGGACTTGTGGGCTCTGCAGGCGCAGGCGCCGCAGGCGCCGCAGGCGCCGCAGGCGCCGCAGGCGCCACAGGCGCCACAGCCAGGCTCGCCTCGGCTGAGATCTCGGAAGGGCCTACGAGGGGCCCTGGGCCTAGCTGCAGCTGCTGTGGCCGACTCCTCTTAGGCTCCGAGCAGGCTCCACGGGCGCAGGGGGTGCAGGGGTCATAGGTTCTTCCGGGACTGTGCTCGACGAAGCCGCCTTCTCGGTGGGCGCCTCGCAAACTGGCCCAAGTTCTCTGACAGAAACGATAGGAAAAATGCGAAGGTCAGTCCCGCCCCCCTGCATGCGGCGTGTGCTCTCAACCAGCGGGCGTCGGTCACTCGGTCGGAGTGTCGATCCGAAAAGCTCTTGACGCACTGCACAGTTAACCCCTGCCAGACGCGTGATGTTGGCCCAAGCAGGCAAAGGGCTTTGAAAGGCCTCGCCGCGTCTCAGTGTCAAGCCGAAGAGGCAAACGCCGGCCCATGTGATCCCAAGGTCGAAAAGGCGGGCACGTGATGCTCATGATGTTGGTCCATGCTGGCGAAGCGATTTGAATGGCCGCGCCATGCCCCAGGGTTGAGCAAAAAAGGCAGTCTGCTCATCCTCCCGACGTCGGCTCGTGTGGTCCCGAGGTAGAAAAGGCAGGCATGACGATCATGATGTTGGCCCATGCAAGCGAAGTGGTAAGGCCGGGGCGTGTCCCACAGTTGACTTGAAGAAGTCCATCTCATCCCGAGGTAGAAAAGGCGGGCACATGATGCTCATTATGTTGACCCATGCTGGCGAAACGAGAAAGGCTGCGCCATGTCCCAGGGTTGAGCAAAAAAGGCAGTCGGATCATCCTCCCAACGTCGGCCCGTGTGGTCCCGAGGTAGAAAGGGCAGGCACATGATGCTCATGATGTTGGCCCATGCTGGCGATGCGATATGAGAGGCCGCGCCATGTCCCGGTGTCGAGCACAAAAGGCAGTCTGCTCATCCTCCCGACGTCGGCTCGTATATGGTCTCGAGGTAGATGATGCTGATGATGTTGGCCCATGCAAGCGAAGTGGTTGGAAAGGCCGGGGCCTGTCCCAGAGTTGACTTGAAGTCCATCTCATCCCAAGGTAGACAAGGGGGGCACATGATGGCGAAGGGATTTGAAAGGCCGCGGCATGTCCTAGGACCTAAGATCGAGCAGAAAAGGCAGTCTGCTCATCCTCCCGACGTCGGCACGTATGATCCCGAGGTATAAAGCACAGGCATGATCCATGCACGCGAAGTGGTTGGAATGGCCGGGGCGTGTCCCAGAGTTGACTTGAAGAAGTCCATGCCATCCCGAGGTAGAAAAGGCGGGGACATGATGCTCATGATGTTGGCCCATGCTGGCGAAGGGGTTTGAAAGGCCGCGGCATGAACCAGGGTCGAGCAGAAAAGGCAGTCGGCTTATCCTCCCGACGTGGACTCGCATGATCCCGAAGTAGAAAGGGCAGGCATGATGCGCATGATGTTGGCTTACGCAAGCGAAGTCGTTTGAAAGGCCCGGGGGTGTGCCAGAGTTGACTTGAAGAAGTCCATGCCATCCCGAGGCAGAAAAGGCGGGGACATGATGCTCATGATGTTGGCCCATGCTGGCGAAGGGATTTGACAGTCCGCGGCATGAACCAGGGTCGAGCAGAAAAGGCAGTCGGCTTATCCTCCCGACGTGGGCTCGCGTGATCCCGAAGTAGAAAGGGCAGGCATGATGCTCATGATGTTGGCTTATGCAAGCGAAGTCGTTTGGAAGGCCGGGGGGTGTGCCAGAGTTGACTTGAAGAAGTCCATGCCATCCCGAGGTAGAAAAGGCGGGGACATGATGCTCATGATGTTGGCCCATGCTGGCGAAGGGATTTGAAAGGCCGCGGCATGAAACAGTGTCGAGCAGAAAAGGCAGTCGGCTTATCCTCCCGACGTGGGCTCGCATGATCCCGAAGTAGATAGGGCAGGCATGGTGCTCATGATGTTGGCTTATGCAAGCGAAGTCGTTTGAAAGGCCGGGGTGTGTGCCAGAGTTGACTTGAAGAAGTCCATGCCATCCCGAGGTAGAAAAGGCGGGGGCATGATGCTCATGATGTTGGCCCATACTGGCGAAGGGATTTGAAGGCCGCGGCATGAACCAGGGTCGAATATAAAAGGCAGTCCCGACGTGGGCTCGCATGATCCCGAAGTAGAAAGGGCAGGCATGATGCTCATGATGTTGGCTTATGCAAGCGAAGTCGTTTGAAAGGCCGGGGGGTGTGCCAGAGTTGACTTGAAGAAGTCCATGCCATCCCGAGGTAGAAAAGGCGGGGACATGATGCTCATGATGTTGGCCCATGTTGGCGAAGGGATTTGAAAGGCCGCGGCATGAACCAGGGTCGAGCAGAAAAGGCAGTCGGCTTATCCTCCCGACGTGGGCTCGCATGATCCCGAAGTAGAAAGGGCAGGCATGATGCGCATGATGTTGGCTTACGCAAGCGAAGTCGTTTGAAAGGCCCGGGGGTGTGCCAGAGTTGACTTGAAGAAGTCCATGCCATCCCGAGGTAGAAAAGGCGGGGACATGATGCTCATGATGTTGGCCCATGTTGGCGAAGGAATTTGACAGTCCGCGGCATGAACCAGGGTCGAGCAGAAAAGGCAGTCGGCTTATCCTCCCGACGTGGGCTCGCATGATCCCGAAGTAGGAAGGGCAGGCATGATGCGCATGATGTTGGCTTATGCAAGCGAAGTCGTTTGAAAGGCCGGGGGGTGTGCCAGAAGAAGTCCATGCCATCCCGAGGTAGAAAAGGCGGGGACATGATGCTCATGATGTTGGCCCATGCTGGCGAAGGGATTTGAAAGGCCGCGGCATGAACCAGGGTCGAGCAGAAAAGGCAGTCGGTTTATCCTCCCGACGCGGGCTCGCATGATCCCGAAGTACAAAGGGCAGGCATGATGCTCATGATGTTGGCTTATGCAAGCGAAGTCGTTTGAAAGGCCGGGGGGGTTGCCAGAGTTGATTTGAATTTTCATTCTGGGTTGGCGGTCGATGGGCTGGGCGAACCCGGTCCCATGCCGTGCATTCCGAAGTCCATGCCATCCCGAGGAAGAAACGGCGGGGACATGATGCTCATGATGTTGGCCCAGGCTGGCGAAGGGATTTGAAAGGCCGCGGCATGAACCAGGGTCGAGCAGAAAAGACAGTCGTCTTATCCTCCCGACGTGGGCTCGCATGATCCCGAAGTAGAAAGGGTACGCATGATGCTCATGATGTTGGCTTATGCAAGCGAAGTCGTTTGAAAGGCCGGCGGGTGTGCCAGAGTTGACTTGAAGAAGTCCATGCCATCCCGAGGTAGAAAAGGCGGGGACATGATGCTCATGATGTTGGCCCATGCTGGCGAAGGGGTTTGAAAGGCCGCGGCATGAACAAGGGTCGAGCAGAAAAGGCAGACGGCTTATCTCGCATGATCCCGAAGTAGAAAGGGCAGGCATGATGCTCATGATGTTGGCTTATGCAAGCGAAGTCATTTGAAAGACCGGGGGTTGTGCCAGAGTTGACTTGAAGAAGTCCATGCTATCCCGAGGTAGAAAGGCGGGGACATGATGCTCATGATGTGGGCCCATGCTGGCGAAGGGATTTGAAAGGGCGCGGCATGAACCAGGGTCGAGCAGAAAAGGCAGTCGGCTTATCCTCCCGACGTGGGCTCGCGTGATCCCGAAGTAGAAAGGGCAGGCATGGTGCTCATGATGTTGCCTTATGCAAGCGAAATCGTTTGAAAGGCCGGGGGGTGTGCCAGAGTTGACTTGAAGAAGTCCATGCCATCCCGAGGTAGAAAAGGCGGGGACATGATGCTCATGATGTTGGCCCATGTTGGCGAAGGAATTTGAAAGGCCGCGGCATGAACCAGGGTCGAGCAGAAAAGGCAGTCGGCTTATCCTCCCGACGTGGGCTCGCATGATCCAGAAGTAGAAGGGAAGGCATGATGCTCATGATGTTGGGCTATGCAGGCGGGGGGTTTGAAAGGACCAGAAGCTGATGCTCATGATGTTACTCGAAAGCTCAGGCGACACAAACTCGAGATCGGAACTACTCAGAAGCGACTTTCCGATCCCCCGATTGTTCACAGTTCCGAAAAGGTAGAAACCCCACGCCAGATTGCACAATGTCCCACGGAAAACAAAGCAGAAGCCGCAACTCGGAACCCACGTGGCCTGCGCTTCTCCCATCTCGATGTCAACTGTGGTGGCCACCATTTCTCCAGTTGCCGGGTCCCATTCCATAACTTGGTGCCTCTGCCGAAGCGGCGCCTGTCGAGCTATCGAGCTACAAGCCACAGCGCCGTGCTGAGGCGAGGCCATGCGAGGCCCAGGCGGCCTGAGCTGGAGGCGGCGTGAAGCCAATGCCTCGGCCAAGATGCGGAAAGCCTTTCCAAATTGTGCATCCTGGGGCGTGGGCCTGCACGCGTCGGGCTGGGATGGCCCTGACAGGACAACACAAAGTGGCTTTAAGAAGGAAGCATCGGAGAGCTGGCCTGATGCGAAGCCCCACCAGCCCCAAACTGGGTTACTGGAGGGCCTGGGATGTTCATTGGCTATGCCCGAACATTTGTTTCCCAACGACAAATCTGCAGTGCATGTTGGCATATGAGCCGTCGGCCATGCTTTGACACAGCGACAAGCGCACTTCGGGCTTTGGTTTGTGCGGCAGACCACCTCGGAGGCCATCTGCGCATAAGTTGCCATTGCTAACCAACTCCTGCTTGCTACCTGTCTCTGTGGCGTATCGAGCATGACGTGCTAAGAAGCCAACGCGGCAGTTTGGCTTTGAACTGCCTTGCTGTTCCACAGCGAGCGGCGAGATCCAAACTCTGGTTTTGTAATCGAACGACAGTCTCAGCCGATTGCCCAGGGTGGTGGCCCTTGGCGGCAAAAGAGCATACTGCCACCAACAATCCCCAGACGGTGAAAGGTGACCACAACGACCAGGAGACCACCGAGAAATCACCATCCAGAAGACCACAATAGAGCCCAGCGAACCACCCAGAGACCAACAGGCAAATCCAAATGCTTTTGCTTCCCCCAGTACTGACGGGATCTAGGACCTCGGCCCAATTGCCTTGCAAGGGGCGGGTTGGACTTGGGCCCATAAATGCTTTCCCCGAGATACTGGCTTACTTTATGCAGGACCACGTCGCTTATGTCTATACTCTTTTTGTTCCCAATTGTTCCCACAAATACTGCTGGGATTCGATGTTTGCGCTGCCAAAACATGACCCATACATCTTCAATGTACAGTGAATCCAGATTTCTTGCAGACGGTAGCACGCCGGTGCGAGCGAAAAGCACGCTCTGCACCACAGCGAAAGCCGCATATCACACACATCATGTGTAAACGGACAAATCTGCACCGCGCAACAGCGGGAGCCACGCTTCGGGAAGCCTATGGTCATGCGGTCATAGAATGTGACATAGCATTAACTAACATCACATAACATGATATAACTGACAAAACAAAGCATCATATATCAGTATATGATGTGACACTAATTATCATAATGTGATGTGATGCAACATGAATGCATGTAACAGTATGAAAGGAATAGAACAAACTAGTTCAGAATAACATAGACTAGAATCTAGAACAGACTACAATACAGCACAACATGAAAGAATGTAAGACCTCGTCATGACATGCCGGGCCGCATCAAAGCATATCTCAACGGACCACTGGGGAGGAGGCGCACCGCACCGGCTGCCGAAGCTGGAGGCGGCGGCCTTCTTGGGTCTGACCAAGGTTCCACGAATTGAATCTGGAGCTTCTGGGCCAACGCCTGAAACCCTTGGCCAGGCGCCCCCACGGTGGTGGCGGCATGGGAGGGTTTAACGCGACAGCTGGCGCCACGGAGCTCAAGGAGCTCGGAGGTGGGTTGGACCTCAGGCAAATCGGAATCCCTAATTACATCTGCAAACAACGCTTTCGAGGCTCAACCTTCTGTCACCTTTTGTGCACCCCTGCATGTGGGCATATGTTGGTGCTAGCTTGACGACTTGATGAACCGATAAAATCACCTGACTGGCGAATCACGTTTCCAATTCGAACAACTCCATCATGTGTGTGCTGCATCGTCTGTCTTGCCGGGTCCCACATGATGTGCCCCTCATTGTACTGGTCCGATGACCAGGCCGTGTTTGACACAACATGACAAACCACAGCGGAGGAGGCTCAACCAGAGGACTCAACCAGAAGAGCCAAGCCAATCAGATCACCCTTTGAAGAGAGCCCTCTTCAGGCAAGCCGATACAAGAGGCAGACCGCTTGCGTCATCACCTACTAGACTTCCCGATGTCACTTGCTTCGTCCTGCCACTTGTTGATGGGATTCGTTGTGGGCTTGTCCGTGTCACGTTCTGAAATCAAGGGGTTGACAATATTCTGCTTGTTCTGCACACTGCCTGCATGTTGTGTGCTCTCCAACCTTTCCCGCAGGGCTTCTCCAAAAGGGCTCTCCCCTATCTTTGCCCGGGGTTCAACGCAATTTCCTGAATTGCTCAACTTGCCATCAGCACGACAAGGCGGCGGCCACTGCGATATGTCCACGCTGTACCTTCACATAGCACATTCATCGTGTTATCCGTGCCTTTTTGTAGGAGAGTCATTCTATCCTGTGAACTTTTCCACATTGCAACATGCACGGGGCACTTCTCGCAGATACTCCGATACAAGAACTCTTCGTCTCCACGGTACCTTAGTAACCGTTTTTTCGCGATCGTCTTCCGAAAGGACACAAAGATGCGGAAACTTGAAAGCAGAGGACGGTGCTTCTCCAACAAGTAATCAACTTTGTGCACATTGTCTGGCTTGTGCACCGCATAAATTTCCACGAGGCGACGTCGGTACCTTATCTCGGCAATATCGTTAAATCCGAACAATGGCGAGGACACAGCAGCAGAAAGCGGCGTGCTCCGGCAAAGTCATCGTGTTCGTCAGTCCGCTTTGACCTGCAGCTGATGAAATAAGGTGCGAAGTTACAAGGCCGATTGTGCGGCCAATCCCTGCTTTTGGCCTGTTGAAGGTGCAGCTATTGGTGCTGGGAAACCAGGGGCTGCGGGCATCGCCTTTCCGCAGCAAAGTCTTGACATGATTCCGGTGAGTGCGCCGAGCGGAGGTAGCCTTGTATAGCAAGCCAGGACCACCAGGCATCTCCTCCATGCACTTTCATGCACTTTCACGCAACAAAGATCTGCAACTGCAAGCCTGTCCTGAAGCGACTGCAATGGTGGCGCGCATGGCAACATTGAGGAAGTTTCAAAATGGCTCAAAGCTGAAAACAGCTACAAAACGATCGGGTTATGTCGATTTAGGTATGGCTAATTAATGGGCGGCAGCTGCGGCAGCCCAGAGCACAAGTCATCCACACATGCCATATCCTGATGACAGCAACTTCAGGCATCTTGAGCAACGAAGCAGCTTCAATGTGGGGCTTGTCGGTGATATGGACTCTGGCCAGCGATGTGGTTACGATTAAACTGGACGATCCTCCCGTGACTCTTGTGTACTGGCAAAGGCTGGCTGCTTGGCCGCAGAGGTTTGGCGGTTGTCAGGAGTGATTTCCACGCGGTCTTGCTTTTGAAAGCACTCCCCTGCACCGCTTCGGGACGCGTGAAAGGCGGGACGGAAAGGCGGGAAGACCAAAGGTCACAGGTGTGATTCCCAGCGCATGCTGACATGGCCCCTTTAAGTGGCGCCTGCTGAGACTTCGGCGCGCGTATGGGTTGTAGCTATTAAGACAGCAGCACCACATAGCCTACTCACGGCATCTCGACTTTACACATCATGTCGGAAAGGCATGCCACAAATCACGTATTCAGACGGCAATGGGCATGATGCATTCTGAACTATGCATAATGCGCAGTGTCGCAAAACATGCTACGCTTCGCCTCCCAAATTTTCAATTTAGATAAACTAATGACTATACTGGTAACAAGCCTGGCTCTGAACCTCAGCAGATATCTCTGCACATTCACGACCTGCGACGACTTGAACATGTCTGGCTGTGGAGCCTGTCCACCTAGTCAAAGTACTTCAATTTTAGTCAACAGGGTGGATGCCCGTGGCTGTTTCTGACTACTGCGCTCGCCTCCGGACTGATCCCGGAAACTGCCGACAAGAGTACACAGAAGGGTGTTCCAAAACTTAAATAAAGGACAAGTCAACTCGTCGTCCTTGATGCATCCCAGAGACAACTTAGCAGCCATCGCAGAGCAGTGTTGCATCTAAGTTCTCTCCTCTACAATTGCTATGACACCACACACACACACACATGCGCGCGCGGGGCATCTTCTTCACAGCTGCATGCTTTGCAATACGAGCTGGACTGGAATCAGGTCCGCCATGGGCCCTGGTGCATCTTCTTCACAAAGACCCCAGCACAACTTGTTGCTGCTGCAGCTCGTCGCCCTCGAGTGGAGAAGGAGTTTCGGTGGCAGAGCGCGACATCTAGGTCGCATTTTGCTCAGACTGGTGGTCACCTCGGGGGTGCCAGAGATTCACGATGCACAACTGCACTAACTACACAACTAAACCGGCCTCTCCTTCTCCTGGCGTCTGCCAGCGGCACGCGGGCCTTGATCCCTGGCACTGACCAGGATTGAGAGGATTTCAAGATTCCCAGGCTTACCTCTCCTGGCTCCTTCTATGCGCTCGTCGATGGCATCCTTCAGCAATGCATTTTCCTTGCAGGCTGGGAACACAGGGTTACTCCACGGGCATGAGTCTGAGGCGAAGTGGCCTCTCGGAGAAGAGTGTTCTCCTTGGGAAGGGCTCTCCGTCATTTCTCTTGGACACGGGTCGTGGTCGTTGGGGGACCTCCCCGACAGCATCTAGGCGCTTCGTCAGGTCCGCCAGGCCCTTCTGTATGTCCAACACCTAGCCAGAATGCACCCGCCAGTGCGCATGCCACATCATGCCACACACGCTCACCCGGAATGCTCTCAGGACTCCGCTGCCGAGCAAAGATCAGCGCGCGATAACTCCTCAAGAAAGGGATGCAAACCGACCCCCCGACACACGCCGAAACTCGCTTGCCTCAAAGCGGGGCATGCTTTGGCCTCAATGTTGCCGCATTACTGCCTCATTCAACCGACCCGAGATCATACTGAGTGCTTCGCCCCAAAGTTTCGTCCAACTCCGGCACGGTACGGGAATGCAGGACTAGCCACTGATGCGTACATCTACTTGCCTGGAACGCAACCGATGTTGCTTGAGCTCTCTGAGACTTCGTACTGCCACATATTGCGAGTTTGCACATGCTTAAACGAACCCTTGAGGATCCTCAGTTCTATGTAAACTAAGGCCACCATGCACAGGCGCAGACTTCAGAATCTGAAGGCACGATGAGGCCAGCCAGAGCTTCGCAAACATGCGATGGTCGTGATGGCTCAGAGCCATTTCCAACAGCTCGCTTCTTTTATCATGGTGCGCCGATCTCTTCGACGATAGCACCACAGCGCTCTTGTCCTTCGCGACCAAAGAACCCGGGTAACGGGGGTGCGACCTGTGACAGATGCTTTCCCCTCTCATTGCCTGCAGGGTCATAGTGGCAAATAGCCACACGTCGATCCTGGCCGAAACTGCAACCGACTCGTCGCGTTTTGCGCCACACAAGCTGCGTGTAGTGCCCCAGCCCAGCACGATTGGGCCGAAACTTCCCACCCTGCGTGTTCCGAATCTCATCGTACCAGCGGGCCACCACTTGCCCCGGCCAAAGGCCAAAGCCAACTGCGACATTCTCGCCAAAGGTTGCGCCGTGCTTGCTCTGTCGCTCCCTTGCTTTGCTATGGGCCAGCCTGTCCGTTGGGGCCTTCTGCGCGTAGCTACGAGCGGTCTGAAATGCTGCCATATCCCACTCTAGCATGTCGATTCCCGCGGCACATCTGTAAATGTTGTGTGCAGTCAAAAACTCTCTGGCGAGCTGAGGCTCTTCGTAGAGATGGAAGGCTGGGCAAACGCTCATTTTCTGCAGCGCTGGAGCAAGAAGTCCTGGCTCGCTGACTTCACTGAGCCAATTCATCATTTCAGCAGTTGCAAGGGGTCCAGTATATCGCGAGCCGCTGGAAAGAAACATAAGAACGGGAAACTTCCAAACCTTGTAACTTCGGCAAAGCTGGGTATTGGAGGTGTCATGACAGTCCACAGCACCGACCTTGACGCCCATTTTTAGCAATGCAGGAGCACTTACTACGTGTTGAAGGGCTATGGCCAGCTCCCGGCACCGCCTGCAGTTCCCAGCATAGAAATGCACAACCCAAGATGAGTACGCAACTGAAGACTTCTCTGGAAAGTTGCCAGCACACAGTGGAATGATGAGATCCCCAATATACGGCGGATGCCCAGCACAGTGGTCTCTCGGGGAAGAGTGAAAGTCTCTGGAAACATCCAGGTGCCACAGTAAACAAAAGAGACAGCTCCCAAGTTGTTGCATTAGGGCAACTGGAAGAACTTGATGTGCCCAACCACGACGCGACGGCAGGTTGACATCAGCTCTTGACTCACAGGCTGCGGTTTACCATCGTCAAGTTGTGACCACTTTCTCCGTAGACTTGAGAGAAAATGCTACAAGGCACAACAAGGAACTAGCAAGCTTCATCTGACTGCTGTCAGTTCAAACAGTTCAAACATGCTCCATTCTTTCGACATCCCCGCCATGCCAACCTGAGACCCTGATAATCTGAAGAGGTTCCTCCTCTGCAATGCTCGGTTGAACTTAGCATGGTGGCAGCCATCTCGATTTTGCACGGGCTTCTGAGAACATGGATGATACTTTCTGGGTGGATTGCAAAAAGAGGGTTCAGAGGAGCGGAATGCATGGAGCCAAAGGGGAATCATGCCAGAGAAAGCACTATAGACAAGAACCTGACGAGCGGATTGAACTGCTTGGGACTAGCGTGGAGGCTCGGGACAGAAAGCATGGAAACTTCAAGAGCCATTCAAAAAGCTTCGCGGTAAGTGATCACATCGCTTTTTCAAGTAGTTTCATGTACGTGCAGGGCGGTGAGACTCTCTGTGATAATTTGATGCGACGCGCATGCTCGCTGTAGATTGGGTGCTGCAATAGTTCACCAGAAATTCAACGCAGCTCTGCGATGTCGTCGGAGTGTGGACTATGTCATAGCATGTAGAGATGCTCTGACTCCTAGTTTTAGATCACTGTCACATGACATGGTTAGAAACCGATGTTTCGGCTTCCTGTGAAACTCATTGTGACACACTTGGGTACGGTGAGGGTAAGGCAGTGACGGTCAGGCCGCCATGTCATTTCGCATCAGCTTTCAGCCTGCAACGGAGTTGCAGGCCCTGAAGGGACAAAGTGACATCCAATACTTTGCCTTCGCAAAGTCCACATCTCAAAGGCCGCTGTTTGGGTCCTGCCGCGATTTGCGAGCGACCCGAACCGGGAACGGCCACGGCCCCCCCCCACCTGGCAAAAAAGCAAAGCAGTCCTGCGCAAGCTCGGAAGGAAGTGGATTGGCCACCTTATCGTAGACGCCTGGCCGCAGTCCACCCGATTCTTTACTGCGGAGGCCAGACCCTGGTCTGTCCGTGTGTCCTGCAGCGACGTCCTCCGGCTGGCCGTCTGCAAGAACCGTGGTGAAGACCTGGGCCGACGTTCGGAACGGAAGCGTCCGGCCTGACAGCTACAGAAGCCGAGGCCCAGACTCGCTTCCAGGACTCTGACACCAAGGACACGTTGTCCAAGAACATGTTCACCCGCTCCTTCACCTCACAGTACGTGAAGTTTCTGCCAGATCTTGTTGCGACTCTGGGCCATGCCTTCTCGCCCTCGTCATGCTTGCAACGGATTAATCGCTGCCGGACAGCAACACTGTTGGGGTTCCTGAGCCGGAGAAACTCAGAAAGTGAAGCTGCCTGTGATGTCTGAAGCCTAAGCTCCGTGCGAATAATGGGCGGTGCCCGTCACTGGATCTACGCCTTAAGTCGTTGTGGATTTCTCAGGGCTAGGCTGTGGTGACTGTAGTGCTTCTGCTTGGGTTTCGAAGATGCCAAGAGCCCGGCGCCGCGAGGACACTCGTGTTTCCACCACTGCATCTGCAAC